ATATATATATATATATATATATATATATATATATATATAAAATACTAGAGTTATGTATGGTATTTCACTGTCTAAGTGCTGAAGTTCCCCAACTTGTGAAATATCTCACACGTTTTCAGGACCTCTCCAAAATAATAAAATGAGAAAAATCATTATCTGTGTAAAAGAGAACGATGACCGTTGAAGTCTGCTTCACAATATGTCTTATTTCACTGGAAGCATGCAGGCTTCCTGGCAGCCACACTGAACATTCCCTAATACTCTCACTTATCTCAGTTTTAATGACATAATTGTATATAAAAGTTGTGGCAATGACTGGAAATCCATTCAGGCTGTGGTTCACGCCTTTGAGTGGAGCAAGAGAAACTATGCAGGGGAACCATCATGCAAAAAGAAAAAGTTGCACGAGAGAGGATTCTTGTCACAGATTAATGGATATTTATTGCCATCGTTTTATTTCTCTTGTCTCAGAGCCAGCTTGACGAGTGGGGAGAAGGTCTGTCTGAATCCTCGATCCGACTGGGTGAGGAAGATCATCCACTTTGTGCTTGAGAAACAACTTCGCAGGAACCCAGCGTAAAAATATACTGTCAATACATCATACAGCTGATATCCACCACTATGAGCCATTTCATGTTCTACTATTTTGCTATGTCATTTTTTTTATTTCTATTTTGATTTTTAACGTTTGTTAATCCAGTTTTCATGTTCTGTTGTTCCTTTTTAATATTACTTTTTGTTTTTATTTTTTTTAGGCATGTATTCCGAAGGCACTTTGTCTACCAAATATTTCACATTTGCAAAAATGTATGATTAAAGCAAATAATTGTAATGAAAATAAGGTGTGATGTGGATGAGTGAAATACTGTATCAACATTTCCCCTTAATTTAAAATACTTAGCAGATAACACAGTATTTCACAATACTTTGTAAAAACGTACACTTCGATGAAAGACTGAATGTATGGCTGTTTGCCTAAACACATACTTTATACAGCAAATATGTAGCGTTGTAGCATGTAGCATACTGCTTTTGTTTGTTTAGTAAGACACATTTTCATACAGCTTTTCGTACTCTAGCAAAAAATGTAATTGATTAGTTGAAAATAATTTGTGCGAAATAATTTTGTGGACATGTCTAATGTGAGGCTTTCAAAATAAATTGTGTAAAGGCCTTCAAAGTCAAATGAGTTGTTCGTTGTGTTTATTCTCATGCATGAAATATTTAGCCTTTCCCGTAAAATACGACCTTCTCTTTAAATATCGTTCTGGATTTGGTGAGTTAGGACCCAAGAATGCAGACTGAATTAAAAAGATGACAACATTAAACAGCTGTCAGGACAGCAAACAAGATAGTCATTTTAAAAAATCATTAACGAGGACCACAAAGAGGACAGAACAAACAATATGACAGACTGAGGAGTAGGAGTATACTATGATACTGGGGAGGAGGTAATGAGTAAAGAATGATTGACTTGTCTGGATCTCTGTGTTTTGTTATAATAAGTGATGTTTTGTGTTCATTTCTTTAGGTTTGTATGATTTTTGTGTTCATTTCCTCCTTGTAGCTTTCAGCGTTTGTCTTTTGTCTTCCTATTCCACATTCACTTGTTCCCAGTTGTCTCCCTGTCAGGCGTTTGTGATTATGCTCGTTCATCTCGTCTTTACATTCTCAGTCTTGAGCGGGTTTTTTTTTTCCCCTTGTGCAAGTCCAAGCTGCCATGGCATTGCTTTATTTTGTAAATAAATACGTTTTTCTTTTTTTTCCTCAAGTTTCTTGAATCCAGGCTGCATTCTGGGTCCAAACCTTTCACCCATGGCGACGTCTGAGGAATTTTAGGAGTGAATGACTTAGGGGAGAAACAAAAAACAAAATCCAGTCCAATTTTATTTATAAAGCCCTTTATAACTCCTCCAAGGGAACTAAGCGCTGTACAGTGCAATACAGTAAAACAAGAAAACACTCGTTCATTAAAAGATTAAAAGAATGAAAATAGGAATAAAAAAATGATAAAAAAAACATGAAAAAAATCAAGTAGCAAAAGCCAAAGAATAAACATGGGTTTTAAATGAAGACTTAAAAACAGCTAATATGGAGGCCTGTCTAATGTCCAAAGGCTGGTCGTTCCATAACTTAGGCCCTAGCTTTGCAAAATCCCCAGTCCCCTCTGAGTTTCCACTCACTCAGGAGTGGCTGAGCTGATCTGAGGGACCCGAAAGGTTTGTACGGGTGAAACAGATCAGAAAGGTAAGGAGGGGCAAGACTGTTGAAAGATCCATACATTGATCCATTACGTTTTACCCGCTTCTTCCATTTCGGGTGACAGGGGTCACTGGTGCCCATATCCAGCAGTCACTGCGCAAGAGGCAGGGTACACCTTAGACATGTCTCCAGTCCATCATAGAGACAAACAAGACAAACAACCATTTACTCTCTCACTCTTATCTAGAGACAATTTAGAGTTACCAATCAGTTGAACATGCATGTTTTTGGTCTGTGGGAGGAAACTCGAGTACCAGGAAAAAAAACACGCATGCACGGAAAGAACATGCAAACTCCACCCAGAAAGGCCTCCTGGTCAGGATTCGATCCAGCTACCTTCTTATTATGTACAGGGCCCTAATAGAAGCAACTTTGTCTATAAAAAATATTGAACAAAAGACTGTATCTCCCCTGTACATACATTAGAGAAAATAAGTATTTGATATACTGCTGATTTTTGCAAGTTTTCACACCTACAAAGAATGGAGCGATCTGTAATTTTTATCATAGGTACACTTTAACTGTGAGAGACAGAATCTAAGAAAAAAAATCCAGAAAATCCCCTTTTATGATTTTGAAATAGTTCATTTTCATTTTATTGCATGAAATAAGTATTTGATCACCTGCCAACCAACAAGAATTCTGGCTCTCACTGACCTGTTAGTTTTTCTTTAAAAAGCCTTCCGGTTCTGCACTCATTACCTGTAATAATTGCACCTGTTTGAAATTGTTATTTGTATAAAAGACACCTGTCCACACTCAATCAATCACACACCAAACTCTCCACAATGGCCAAGACCAAAGAGCTGTCTAAGGACACCAGGGACAAAATTGTATACCTGCACAAGACTGGGATGAGCTACATAACAATAGACAAGCAGCTTAGGGAGAAGACAACTGCTGGTGCAGTTATTACAAAATGGAAGAAACACAAGATGACTGTCAATCTTCCTCAGTCTGGGGCTCCATGCAAGATCTCACTTCGTGGAGTGAGAGAGAGTGAATGGTTGTTTGTCACGTTTGTCTCTACGTGTCCCTGTGATGGACATGTGACCCGTCCAGGGTGTACCTTGCCCCTCGCACAGTGATTGCTGGACATGGGCACCGGCGACCCCCGTGACCCAAAATGGAAGAAGCAGGTAAAAGATAATGGATGGATGGATAATTCAATTGTTTTTGTAAATTTATATGAGATGAGCTTTTGATATCGCAATATATCGATCGTAGACTTGTGAATTGAATTGAATTTTTTTTCATTTACCCTTTATTTATCCAGGTAGTCTCATTGAGCCACGAGAACTCATTTTCAAGAGAGACCTGTTTGGGGAGCAGATGGTGGGGGTTAGGGGCCTTGCTCAGGGGCCCAGAGTGGGGCGAATGAGGGTGGAGGCAGGTGTGGGTGTTCCACCTTTTCCACCCACATTTTGATGTTGACGGTACCGGGAGTTGAGCCTGCGACTTTCCGATCACAAGCCCAGCTTCTAACCTCTGCGCCACCACTCCCCTCCCCAATTTAATTGAAATCGTATCATGACAGACTTTGTGATATTGAGAAAAATCATATCTTCATACAAAAAAATCAATATAATATCATGTCCTAGTAAAGTTGGTGATTTACACCCCTATGAGTAACACACTACGTTGTCATGGTTTAAGATCCTGCAAGGCATGCAAAGTCCCCCAGCTCACACCAGCACATGTCCAGGCCTGTTTGATGTTCACCACTCTGGATGATCCAGAGGAGGCATAGGAGAAGGTCTTGTGGTCAGCTGAGACCAAAAAAGAGCATTTTGGTATCAGCTCCACTCGCCGTTTTTGGAGGAAGAAGAAGTGAGTATAACCCCAAGAACACTCTTGGAATTGATGAAGACATAATTTGATAAAATACAAACTTGGTTTAAACTTAATAAATTATCATTAAATTTAGATAAAACTAAATACATGATATTTAGTAACAAAAAGAGAACTGTTGATGATCCATTTAAAATTGAGGGTGTTGAGATTTGTAGAGTTAATGAGATGAAATTTTTGGGTGTAATCATTGATGAACAGCTAACATGGAAAAATCACATAAATTCTGTAAGAACAAAAATATCTAAATCTATTGCAGTACTATACAAAGCCAGGGAATTATTAAATGATAAAGCTCTGTACATGTTGTATAACACAATCATTGTTCCACATTTAATCTATTGCATTGATGTTTGGGGGAAAGCGTGTAAAACATTTACAAAACCTATTTTTATTTTACAGAAAAGAGCTGTAAGAATCATCACCAGAAAGCATTACAGTCATCCATCAAGCACATTATTTCATCAACTGAAGTTATTGAAGTTCCATGATTTGGTAGATTATAGTATTTTATCAGTTATGTATAGGGCTCAAAATAACACATTACCATTAAATATCCAAAGAAATTTTGTTAAAAGACAAAGTTGTTATAATCTTAAGGGGATAGAGATATTGGTCAAACCATAATTCAGAACTAGTCTGAAGGGAAGGTCTACCTCAATCCAAGGAGTTGGATTGTGGAATGGTCTAGAGAGTGATGTGAAAAATGCCAAGTCAATGTGTACATTTAAGACAAAGATCAAAACTGAATTGTTATAAAAATATATATAAAGTAGCTTAGTGTGTTTTTTGTATTAGAATTAGAAAAATTAGAAAGAGTTATTCATTTTGTTCTGTCACTTGAAAATTAATGTGATTGAACTAATTGTGTGAAAAAAGGGGCAGATATAATACAATTTTTTTTCTTCTGCTGCCTTTCATTTTAAATCTCTTGTATATTTTTTATATTGTTATGGAATTGTTTTGTATTTTTTTAAATTAATAAACTTTATACCATACCATAACACCATCCCAACCACGAAGCATGGGGGTGGAAACATCATACTTTGGGGACAGGACGACTATACCATATTGAAGGGAGGATGGATGGGGTCATGTAACATGAGATTTTGGCCAACAACCTCCTTCCCTCGTTAAAAGCATTGAAGATGGGTTGTGGCTGGGTCTTCTAGCATGACAATGACCCAAAACACAAAACCAGGGCAAATAAGGAGTGGCTCCATAAGAAGCATTTCAAGGTCCTGGAGTGGCCTAGGCTGTCTCCAGACCTGAACCCAGTAGAAATTTTTGGAGAAAGCTGAAACTCAATGTTGCTCAGCATCAGCCCCAAAACCTGAAAGATCAGGAGAAGATCTGTTTGGAGGAGTGGGCCAAAATCCCTGCTGCTATATGTCCCATCCTGGTCAACAACTAAAAGTAACGTCTGACCTCTGTAACTGAGAACAAAGGTTTCTGTACCAAATATTA